AACTGTTGGGCAGGTATTTCCTTCAAGGGGTGGAACAACTGTTGGGAGGACCACCAGTAGACTGACGAACACACAATGCAATATCGATCAAAGCAATTGGGAAAGTGGACTGCGCCGTTAAAGAATTACAGTATGAATTGTAGCTGATTGAAGTATCAGAGTGGAAAAAGTCTCACGGATTTTTAGCTTGACCCATATATTCTTTTGCAGCGAGCATCGATTACAGGACAAATTTTAAAACAGCTGATTTCTTATCAACTTATAAAACAACCCTTTTCCCCATAGATTTAAAAGTTTTACAAAATCAGCCTTTATTGATTAGATCGCTTGGTTACAAATAAAAGTTAAAATCCCTTCCACATTTACTCTCTAGGAGAGAAAAGGTATTCAGAAAGTAGCCCAAAAGCCTAGCAAAAGTTCTCGACTATGTAAAAATTAATGACCTCAAAACTCCCGGGTTTTCCCTGAAGTCAGCTTTTCCGTTCAAAATTTAGTTAACCTGATCGGTGACATGTTCATCGCTTGCCAAGGTATTATATATATCAAATTCATTCCGGCACAACGTACCACTTTCATCAAAATCGAACAAATCGAAAACATTCATCAGTGTCATCCTGAATTTTTTTGGATGCAACTGCAGCAATATTTCGAAGTTAATTTATACTTTTCCTTCAAAAAAATCAAATTCCAAATGTATTTCCAGGGTTTGGCTAAATCATGAACAACATCCAAAGGCTTTGTCTGGATAGCTATTTTTTATAAAGATTTAAGGATGTAATATCACAATATGATATATTTATTTTTTTGATATTTTGACTGACTGCAGACCATACGTACAATTATGCAGGTGAAAGCTTTTTCATTTACTTTGACTGATGCTGTTTTGCCCCATGGTCGTCCTGTTATCCATTCTGACATTCATTTCGTCTAATGAAGAATTTACCAGCTCAGCGATTTTCACAGCAGAAGCATTTGGCGAGAATTTAGCCGTTTCTAGATCACATTGCTGCATTTTGAGCTCACGACATACATGTATATGCTGTGCTTTCAATTTAAAACTTAGTAAAAAGTGTACCGGCTGCCGGTACGAGGATACGTTTTTTTGCGCAGTTCCTCCGCAAGTTTTCTTCGCCAGTGGCACGTACTCCGGCAGATGCTTCTAGCTAAAAGCATCGGAACTGGCCGCCACGACTGCTAGAAATTATTACAAGGACTCACAATCCAACCCCGAAAAATTCTGCGCTCTGGATGCTTCGATTGCTGAGTTACGTCAAATTTCACGTGTTCATGCGTGAGTGGCAACGCTTTTGCTCAAACACGGTCCAGGCTGTGCTCAGAAACTTTCAACACTCAAGCCGCTCTGGTTGCGGAGTTACATCAAATTTAACGTGTTGCAGAGATACGTCAAATTTCACGTGTTCGTACATGAGTAGCAACGCCAATGCTTTCTTCGCCTGCGGTTGCTCAAACACGGTCCTGGGTAACGCTCAGAAAATTTCAGCATTCCAGTTGCTCTGGTCGCAGAGTTACGTCAAATTTCACGTGCGTACGCGTGAAACGTACGTGAGACGTAAAAGTGATACGCAAGTCATTCTTGCTTGCATCCGGTCAAAGGCCATTGTCGGTTATGCTCAGAAAGTCCAGGTCCTCTGGCTGGTTCAATCCTGAAGTTACAAAAGCGCATGCGTGAAATTTTCACGTTTTCGTGCGTGAGATGCAGAAGAGCTGACAAGTAATTTACTTTCATGGGCACAACTGTAGGCGTCAAGTAACGCAGTAAAACTGCAGCTCTCTGCAGCTTATTGCTCAGCTTAAATCTGGAGTTGACATGACGCCAGTTTAAACTTCGACGTGTGCCTACACGAGACCTGGGGGGTGCAGAAAGGCTAAATTTGGATTAGAAGCGGCCAGGAAACATCTGTGAGAAGTTCCAGCCTTCTAGCATGGGCCGTCCCTGAAACGCTTTCCCGTCAAAAAAAGTTTCACGTAGCCCTACGTGAGAACCACGCAAACATGAGCTTCCATTTTAAGAAAAAGTACGAGTCCGCATGTATGTGTAGAATAAGTCCCCAAATTTTCAGCCTTGTAGCTTTTGTGGATCTCGAGATGAAAACTTGCTACAGACGCTCACACAGACACACATGCAAACATACATACATACACACAGACAACCCCTCGACAATGAGCGTTTTTGCATTGCACAGCCACAAAAAACGCATAAAAACGAGAAAAAATACCAAGAACTAGGAAATAATACTGTTTTCAACCGTACATATCATGTAAAAATTCTTCGCATATTATTGCTAATCACGCTATGGTGCTAATTGAGGCTTAGTACCGTAACCTATTTGGCCATTCCACCAAAATCAGATATGCGGGCTTGAAAGTTGCGGATTGCTGCAATCCTTAGATCTAACTGTGAAGACTAGCTACGGAAAATGA